ATTATCACCCGTTCAGAAGGAAAGCAGGGAGCCATCCACCAGCAGTGAGCTGCTGGTGAGACTTTGCCTCTGCAGAGAGTGGCACACACTTAGATTCTGCTTACTGTCAGCACCAGACAAACTGCCCTGGGATATTCTTACAAATGTTTCAGCTAACTGTTGCCAAATTGTTCTAAGATCCTGTTGTGATAGTGATGTCACCATCCTGGCTTGGAAACCAGTGTCTGCATTCATGACCAGAGTACTTCTATAAAAGTACTGGTAACATGTTGCTGTCCCCCTGAATCACCGAGAAATTCTGAAAAAGTCTGTTACTGTATATCAGCGCCTGTTAAAATCCTGCTTCGAGACACTTTCAAGTATTTCACACCACATGATTGTGTGATGGTGTTTGACGCCTCCTCCATCACCATTCATGCTAGTTGATTTATACACTGTTAGCTATTGTATCAGTATTCCTTCCTCTCGTCTTTCCTTCCCTCTACACTGTCTCTCTTTGCCGGGACAGACGGCAACACTGAGTCTGGATCTGCTGGAGATTTCTTCCTGTTGCTGCCATAATGCTTACTCAGTGTGTAACTTAGTCATGCTCCAGTCTGTCTTGATATTTAAACTCAATATTGACGTTGACTGTAAAGACCTCCACTATTCCCTCTCGTTAGTTTAATGTCAATCTTTATTTAAATGTTTTCTAATGTTTTGTTAATGTAGACCATACAAGTAAAATAGACCTGACTTGTGTTTGTTTAGAATTTAGAATGAGTCTTTCCATAGCTATGAACTGAAATGACCTCAGCTTCGATGATGTCACATTTCTTCCTGTCAGGGAATCGCTGGCACAGACGTGGCGAAAGAGGCTTCTGACATCATCCTGACCGACGACAACTTCACCAGCATCGTCAAAGCCGTCATGTGGGGGAGGAACGTCTACGACAGCATCTCCAAGTTCCTGCAGTTCCAGCTGACCGTCAACGTGGTGGCTGTGATCGTGGCATTTACCGGCGCGTGCATCACACAAGTAGGTGGAAACCTGACGGTGTTTGTCTCCATCTAAGTCTTCAAGGTGATTTCACCAACACTGTTCGGCCCATTCTGGGCAAGTGAAGATCAACATGTCTTGCTGCAGCGGTGGTGTGTATGTTGCTCAGCAACTGTTTCAGAATTTGTAATCTTTTCATTTGTAATCACGGTGGCATGGTTTTACTAACCTAAGACACCTTTTCTGTTTTATATATGACATGTTGATGTTTTGCCATAAAAGTGTTTTAATTTGAAAAATATGATTGAATCCACAGTACAGTGAATATGTGGTGATGAAGCCCTTCTGTCCTCCTCCAGGATTCTCCTCTGAAGGCCGTCCAGATGCTGTGGGTGAACCTCATCATGGACACTCTGGCATCTCTGGCTCTGGCCACTGAACCCCCCACTGACTCTCTGCTGCTGCGTAAACCTTACGGCCGTGACAAGCCCCTCATATCCAGGACCATGATGAAGAACATTCTGGGTCACGCCGTGTACCAGCTGGTCATTATCTTCACTCTGCTCTTCGCCGGTGAGTCATTCTGCTCCTTGGATTATTGAACACTTCAAATACTGTGAATACTAACCAATAAACATGAAATACAGTCATACAAATACATAAAGAATTTCCAGTTGGTGATTTTTTTTTTTTTTTTTCAGGTGAAAAATTCTTCGACATTGACAGCGGCCGTAACACTCCCCTCCACTCACCTCCCTCTGAACACTACACCATTGTGTTTAATGTGTTTGTCATGATGCAACTCTTCAACGAAATCAACGCCAGGAAGATCCATGGTGAGAGGAACGTGTTTGAGGGCATTTACAGGAACCCCATCTTCTGCAGCGTTGTACTGGGAACCTTTGCTCTGCAGGTAAGATGTCGTCATCCTTCTACTATAGAAAGCTGAACTAGATAATGACAGGGCCAGTCATCTAATCAGCGTGTAAATATTAGACATTTATTTAGAATTAGAGCAGGAGCGCCACTGTGTGATGGCTGATATAAAAGTAGAAAACAGATTTCACAGGGGTCAACACAGGTGTCTCGTTTTTTTTTTTCATCTCCTCAGATCATCATTGTTCAGTTTGGAGGGAAGCCGTTCTCCTGCACAGCTCTGACCATCGACCAGTGGCTGTGGTGTGTGTTCATCGGCGTGGGAGAACTGCTCTGGGGCCAGGTGAGAACAAGTGGAACAAACGGCGCTGAGGTCTCACTCTGACCTGAATTAGACCTGAACCCACATGGGTTCTGAACAGGTTAATAAGTGAGGTTTGTGGCAGCAAACTGTTGACTGTCAAACCGCTGCTGCTGTTAGTGCTGCGCTGCTGCTAATAATGCTGCTGCTACAGCGTTGCCATCACGACCATCGTCATGGTAATGAGCTCAGCGCAGGGAAGCAGTGCGACTCCTGTACGTGAGCGCTGAGCGAAAACAAACCCAGCGGATCAGTCCCTCTGGATTCACACACACACACACACACACAGACACCCACACACACCCCACTCCTTCAAATATACACACACACACACACACAGACACCCACACACACCCCACTCCTTCAAATATACACACACACACACACACACACACACAGACACCCACACACACCCCACTCCTTCAAATATACACACACACACACACAGACACCCACACACACCCCACTCCTTCAAATATACACACACACACACACAGACACCCACACACACCCCACTCCTTCAAATATACACACACACACACACAGACACCCACACACACCCCACTCCTTCAAATATACACACACACACACACAGTCACGCAGTCACACACCAATGCCTTTAACATGTACACACAAACGCACAGAGAAATCAAACATTAAAAATGACTGTTCGACTATAAGGTGGGTTCAGGCTGAGGGCAGCGTCTGAGAACAGAACCTGACTGAAGTGTGTGAGTCAGAGGTAACAGAAGAAGGTAACAATGTGGAGGTGTCTATCTCTGCTGTTTATTTTACACTGAATAATGTTTGGAATCCCACTTGTCACATTCAGTAATCCAGTCATTCTGTTTCACATTATAACATATACATTTGTGTTAATAGATCTTTGATCGGCTGCTTTATTACGTTTCTTAAACGCCTCTGTTAGTTTAGATCACTTGTTGGTGTTTTTTGGGCACATTCTTTTTTGGCCATATTTAAACTTTGCTTTTCACATTTTGGTCAGCTGGTCACATCCATCCCAACCCATCGCCTGAAGTTCCTGAAAGAGGCCGGTCATGGCATCACAAAGGAGGAGATCCACGAGGAGGAGCTGACAGAAGGCGCTGATGAGATCGATCACGCTGAAATGGAGCTGAGAAGAGGCCAGATCCTCTGGTTCAGAGGTCTGAACCGCATCCAGACACAGGTACGGCCCCTCGTCTCACCAATACGTACCACATGGACGGGTCTTTTGGGGGTAAAGAATTCTGCAGTGATTCTCAAAGTCTGGAAAGACAACGCCTGAAGAATGAAGACGGAAGTTGGTTTTCTTCCTGTGAAAAGTTACAATCTCCGGGCGAAATACATTGCTCAGTTGTGAATTGACCTCAATATTACTGATGGTGTGTATATATATATATATATATATATATGTATAATATTCTGAGGTCTGGAGAAATCTCAAATGAATCTAACCCTAAGATCATTAAGCCTTGATGAAGAGACTCACATTCCTGTTAAGTTATTATAAGAATGAGCACTCCCTCACTTCTCCAGGGACTCACTGTGTGTGTGTGAGTGTGTGTGTTTGTGCGTGCCATCCTCATATAGAATAGATCATCACTTACTTAGCAGTTGGATTTCTACACATGGCTCCCAGTGGGCTTCGTTAGCCTTAATGCTAACACCAGAGCAGCCAAGTGTCTACTCCCACTCTCACACACACACACACACACACACACACTCAGATGTGCAGAGGTCAGGTGCCCTCTCCCTCAGCACTGGACTACTCTACTTATTGCGGCCTGAGGGTAAAGACATCTGAATTAATAATGACACATTTTCTGCTTCATCCTCCAGAGTTTCTCAGTTTGACCTCTGCTGACCCTCTGCATCTCCCCTGTCTCTGAATGATCTTAAACACAGCAGCAGGGACGTCCTGCCTCTACACATATATAATGTATTATTTAAATTTAATAATTGTATTATATTTAAACATAACTTAATTCATGGATTTTCATACATTTGATCAAAATGCAGTTAATATGATTTTCTAAAAGTGGAATCACTTCCTGCTGCCTTTTTTCCCCCAATCAATAGTGATGTCTCTCCACAGACAAAAAAACAACACATAGCACAGGCAGGTTTTTAATTTGGGCCCGTTATCAAGTTCATTGATGTAAAACCCAAAGACGAAGGTTTTCATGCTTGAATGGCTAACGTCCAATAGGGTTTGGCTAATTATTTTGTAGCGGGAGAGGCTAGTAAACCTGGAGAGCCCTCCTCTTGTTCCTCCTCCTGTGTCTGTGTATCTGAAATATCAGTCTGTCGTCAGTTTGGGACGGCCGGATGAGGGACTGATGAGAGGGATGGGGAGTGTGGGGGGGGCTGCAAGCTAATTAGGTTCTTATCTCTCCATGCTCCTCTTCCTGTCCTCCTCCTCTCTAATCCTGGGGAGCAGCGTTGTGCTGCTCAACGCCTCGACAGTCACACACACTGAGAGAATAATTGGTACAAGCAGCACCGGAGCTGAAACTTTTATCAGTCATTCCAAGTGACACACTTTCTCCTCTTCCTCCTGTTCTCCACTGCGTTCGCTCTGATTTAAAAGCCCTTTATTCCTTGCTCCTTTTCATCTTCCAGCCCTTCGTTTAGAGCGCTGTCTGGAATTTCACAATTTGTGTTGCACTGACTAAATGACAGCCTTTTCTATTTCTCTCTCTCTCTCTGACTCTGACTCTGACTCACTCTCTCTTTCTCCTCATTCCTAAAAAGCTCCCTCTCAGTCCTGTCCGTCACCCAGAACTGATTTAGTTATCTGTACAAAATGGGTAAAACCTGAAGGGTGAAAAAAAAAGTCAAAGTGTCATGTGAAAAGTTTCAATGCAGATAATTCAGCTTCTCCCACCGTGCAGTGTGAGGAATGCTCCCCCTGGATGTGGTTCATGGTAGATTTTCTTTCAGGACATGATTTAGTCACTGTAAAGAAACACTTTCACTAATGTTTACTGTATATCAGAGCTCTTTATTCACTCTTTGTTTTTCTGCACAGTGTTATCAGAGTTGGCTTCGTACCAAAGAGGCCTGAAGTTTAGTTCAAAACTGAAATGTTTTTAGAAAAGTTTAAAAAAAATCTGATCTGCAGAGGGCACAGAACTCCTTCCAAGGTTAGTGTGTTCTCTCAGTATCTAATCTGTCCAGGAGGTGAGAATCACAGAAACTCTCCCAATGTCCTGATCCGTATCAAATCATCCTCTAAGTTCAGCTGTGGGGTTTTTTTTCTCTGTTGATAAAAAAGTTCTACTCTTGCACTGACAAAGACCCTCGTCTGCCACAGGGAAAATTGGATCCAACTGTTTTCGGTGGTCTTTCCAACTCTGTTTGTGTGTGTGAACAAACACACTGATCATCCAGCCATCAATCAGACCATGTGTGAAAACTGTGATCATGAACATGTACAGAGGCCACAACACTGCAGATGAACTCAGCTGTAGAACAGAAAAATACAACTTACATATATACATAATTTTGGATTATATTTGCACAGAATTCACATAGTTCAAAATATTCTGACAGATGTCTTTAAAAGTTAGTTGATTTTAGCACATTTCATCATTGTACTCTTGTCAAAGTGTTCAGCTGTGTCACATTTTATTCCTGAGCAAACGTCTGCTTTTTTTTGCCAGGTTTAAATGGAAACCTGTTAACCTTAAACAGAGGTGACAACGTTTAAATATAGCAATGTTATTCTCTTTTATTTCTTTTTTTTTTCTGGAACTTTGTGACGTATCCTTGTTATGTTCTTGCATAAGCACCTGGAGTGCCAACAGTTCTCCCTTTATTCCGATTTATCCATGAGCAGAGGTAGTGACAGCCCGTCTCTCCGAGATGACAACTAAATTATCGTTCCATACCGTCTCTAACCACTTAGTCAGAGGGAGCTCTGAGTCCAGAGAAAATTCCAGATGCTGTCAGCCAATCACTTTGATGTCTCACCTCTTCTTAATGAATGCTGCGTTTTTTAACTAACCATCTCACCAACGGCCTCACTGCTGCTCCCTGTTGGGTGTTTTCCTCACTTTGGATAACAGTCTTCAATAACTGTCACTAATCGTAAACTTTTCAACCTCTTCATGTCTGTTTTTCCTCCGTCTCACGTCCTCCTCTTCTCTGTCTCTTTTCTGCTGTCTAACTCTACGTCGCTGCTGTCCTTCCCCCTCAGATGGATGTGGTCTATACCTTCCAGACGGGCCAGGCGGCGGTGCCGGGTGCCCTGCGCCGCCAGCCGTCTGTCGTCAGCCAGCACAATGACGCCACTGCCGCCAAAACTCTATCTAGCCCCACCCACGTAGGGCTTAGCTCCTCCTCCTCTCTCACCAACTCAGCCGGGGCTGCGCCCCCTGCTGCTGCTTCCTCCTCCACTGCTGGCAGTGAGTCTGTGCCCGGAGGGCAGATAACGCCACGCTTCAGCGGCTGCACTCATTTGATTCAGTGTTTTAAGAAAATCAGCCGTCATGTTGTTCACGTGTCGAGACGGTGTCTGCATTTTCTGACTCCATCTGACTTTAATTCGCAGAAAATAAGGCTTAGAAGAGTGTTGTTGTTGTTTTTAATTCATGATTATTTTAATGATCATAAATAAATAATTTCATTAATAATTAATACATTTTGATTAGTGAATTAATCTTTCATTTAATAACAATAACATTCATTTAATATCTAAGGATAAATTATCTTAGTGCAAAAGATTTTAGGTCTATTGATATGATTGATATATATCTGGATGACTACAGTTGAAACAAAATGAACTTTAAAGATAGAAGAAATCTTTGGATGACTACAGTTGAAACAAAATGAAAATATTTTTTATTGGCAAAAATGACATTAAATCTGTCCAAGAACTTGCAGACGACCAGATCTCTGCCTCCATCTCCATCCTTCTCTTCAGTTTCTCCTCCATCCTAATCCCGCTTTGGTTCATTCTTTCCATCACTTCCTCTCATCCTGCTGTTTGCCCTGGTTTATGTGTGTGTGTGTGTGTGTGTGTGTGTATGCTGTAACCCTGATGTGACTTGCAGCCTGACAGGTCAATGACAGATCACAACTGTTGGCACACACGGCCAGTTAGAGATTTGTTCCGATCTGTGGCAGAGAAAAAAAAAATCCCTGTCCTATTTTCCTTTGTTGTTGTTGTTGTTTTTTTTGTTTTTTTTTTTCCCTCTGAGGCAAAAGCCTGGACACCGAGATAATTTTATGGGTTAATCCTGAGCTGGGTTAAATCTGTCAGGCTAAGCAAGTCTCTCATGGTGTAACAGCCAAGAGCTTTTCACTTGTGAGCTTAGTGTGTGTGTGTGTGTGTGTGTGTGTGTGTGTGTACACGCACGCCGGCTCAGCCCCGCAGCTTTCCTGTGATGAAGCTACAGAGAGCTTTGAACTGCAGGATTATTATTTTAAAATGAGGCTTGTCTGCTGGTGTTAATAAATCATTGTGATCAGCTGTGGATTCACCGCGGAGGCTGTGGCTCTGGGCACGGAGGCCAGAGCAGCCAGAGGACAAAAGGCTTTTGGCTGTCAACGGGATTAGAAATAGTTGTTGTTAGTCTGCATGTGTCTGTTGCTTTCCCCACTTGTGTGTGTTTCGAGTGTAGTTTGGTTTTTTCGCTGGAGTCATCTTGTCTGGAGCGCCACTGGAAGTGTGAAGTGCAGCGGTTCTGGAGTTTTTCCGTTGATCACCTTTGTTTTCTTTTTGTCCAGCTTCACTAGTCAATCAACGGGGGACACATTTAGAGACAAAAACACTGACATTCAGTGTCCCCGTGGTCTCTGAAGAATGAACTATTGAGATTTAGCAATAAGTAAGTGGAGCTAAAAGGAAAGTTTGAAGATCATCACAGACTGTCAGTGAGCCTCTGCTTTCTACTTCCTGGATTTCCTGCTCAGAATGTCCTTACAAAAGCAATGCAACATCACTTTCATTCGTTTTTTCCAGGTGAATGACCTGCTGAGGGTTACACTCTGTGGTCTAGGTCTAGCTGTACATGTGGGGACATTTTTTTTACTAAGATAGATGAAGATTTAGTTTGGATTAGAATTAGGGCCAGGTTGGAGTTGGAGTGAGGATTAAGGTGAGGTGTACGTCTGGAATGGTTCAGGTTAGAGACTGCATTATGTCTGTGCTGAGTATTCACAGAAACTGGTGTGTGTCTGTGTGTGTTTTGGTGACGTCATGCTCCTCAACATTGTGTTGATGTTGATTTGTTTTACCTTTGTGTTGCCTCCTATATATATATATATATATATTATCATTTTTATTTTTACCCTCATATTGTCATCCATCTGCCTTCCATGTTTTTAGTAGTTTTGCTGGTGTTTTTTTTTGTTGTTGTTGTTTTTTTTTCCTCGTCCCTACCATGATCCTCCTCGTGTTGGACGTCACACTCCCACACACACACCCTCTGACTCGACTTTGTTTTCTTTGTCCTTCTTCTCCTTCAGATTAAGGTGGTGAACGCATTCCGTAGCTCGTTGTACGCGGGGCTGGAGAGCCCAGAGTCCCGCAGCTCCATCCACAGCTTCATGGCCCATCCTGAGTTTGTCCCCCTGTCCGAGGAGGAGGAGGCTCGCATCCCATCCATCGAGGAGAGCGGTGATGAGATCGACACCCTCCCCGGCGCCTCGTCTGGCGAGCCTTCCACCTGAGCTCCACCTCCTCCTCCTCCTCCCTTCTCTTCATCCACTCCATGTGTCATCCCACCAACTGAACTGTCACACAGAGGAGGGAAGTCATCATCATCATCGTCATCATCATCATCATCACACACACACACACATGCGTCACGCCATCTTCAGGCCCTCTTCTCCGCCCACACACACACCCTCCTGTCAGTCATCCGTGTGTGTTTCCTTCTGACTGACGACATCTCTCAGCCTGTAAATCTGTTCCCTCACCTCCACCACCATGAATCAGCAGAGGGTGGAGACACCGCGCGTCCACAGTTGGACCTCTCTCCTCTCGTCTTCATTTATAGATTTGATTTAACCCGATGATCCTTTGGCGAAGCTTTTAAACTACGTTGGCTTGGATCCTTGCGGGACTCACAGCAGCATGTCGTGTTCTGTCCTGGCTTCATCCCTGCTTAACGCTCTCCAATAATAATGGCACCAAACTTTTTGAATGCGTGCAAAGGTTTTCATGTACATATGCTTCCTGCCCCTCTACACAGCTAACAGCCGGGTCAGGTGATCACATGATGTTAGGCAAATCAAAAATGTAATCTTTTATTCTAACTTTTTTTTTTTAATGTTTGTTTTGGAAACCTTTAAGGAATGTTAATTGATGGTTGATTCAAAGTCAGACAGAATGTCTTGTGAGTGTGACACTACAGTCTTTAAGGTTCAGCTCTTAAAAAGATGTTCTTCCCTTTATTGTGTCTGTACGTGTTGATTTTTATTTTTAATTCTTCTAAGTTTAAATCTTAGCTGCTGTGTTGCATGTGTAAAGACAGAATGTTTACTACCCAAAAATATTGACCATGGTGACCATCCAGAGAAGGGCTCGCTTTCTGCTCAGTGGGAGTCTGACCTCACCTTAGCCAATCGGTGTCCTGGTTCTCTCGCCCTCGCCCTCCTCCCTCTCTCTGCCTCCCACCCCGTCCCCCAGTGCGTCCACAGTGTTGATAGGAAACAGTAGTGTGGCTCATGTTCACCCTTTACTACGATGCATGTTCTGTTTCAGTCGTGTCGAGTGGCATGATAACTTGGAATGAATATATGAGATTATGTTTAGACGACCATCTGCAGCAGCATCTGTTCAGAGAACTTCCTGTCTGTAGATCTGAACATCCTCTCACCCCACAGGGACAGAAACAGACTCGTCAGGATTATTCCAGTGACACTGAGGCAACTGTAGCAGAAAAGTCAAAGCATGCTTTGCTTTTTTTTTTGCTTTTTCTTCACCAGGACAGCAGGGCAGTGGGTGTCTCCACACATGGACGTGTTCCACACATTGGCTCACTTGTAGGCAAGTGCGGTCCCTAAAGTGACGCAACCCTTCATCTATGCTGGTTTGCAAGAAGCCAGAGAAGCTCAGAGTTGATGCTGTAAAAAACTCCTCCTTACTCTTGGATGGTACACACTGAAACAGGCACTTATTTATGATTTTTGATTGACAGCTAATTAGTCAATCTGATCAAATTTTTTTTTCCTTCTTTTTTTACTAATTTTGCTCTACTTTCCAAATTGGTCCAGCGTTCATCGTCCTAATCAGGAGAAGTGTGTTTTTAGGTTTCCAGTTGTTGTTAAATTTGGCCACAGCTGCTTCAGGGTTAGAAGTGTTCCTGTTCTCCACAGTACTGCAGTTATACTACAGTAGTGGCTCCAGCTTCCACCAATGTCACTCCCTTGGCTCCTCCTAACCCTGGGTGTTCCCTGGGCAGGTGGGCTGTATGTCACAGTAAGAGCCGTCAGGTTCTCCTCCCACTCCGTTCTGTCCAGATCTCATCCCTCAACGTGAACGTGCAGCAGCAGGTCACTTCCTGCCACAGCGCTGCCGTCCGCGGCTCCAGACGATGTGATTGGTGTTCAGGTGAAATGTCCCTTTGATTCTTTTCAATTCTTTTTTTTTTTTTTTTTTTTTTTTACTGAAGCTTCTGTGCGTTTTATCTTTGACTCAGTTTGCGCCTCCAGGGAAATATCACTTTTTGTTCTTGTGCGTTTCATCTCCTCCAGAGATGTGATTTACACAGAGTCTGGATGTGCATTACACAGAGGGGAGCACACGGCAGCGGAGTCTGTTCTGTATCAGTGCAGGTTGTTGACTTCCACAGGAAGCGCAAAGATCTCTGAACAGAATCTGCAGCGTCTGTCTGTTTGTTTGTTTGTTTGTTTGTTTGTCTCCCTGTTTGTCTGTGCGTAACAAAAAAAAAAACAACTTAGTACTGCATCTGGTGTTTACTTTGTTCATCAGATTTAACTAACAGAATCAAAACCAGTGGTCTTTGACATCACACAACCAGCAGCAGGAGAGGAGTGCGATCATCACCTCGGCCTCTCCGCTCCAGGGCCTTTGATAATCGGCCAATCCGTCAGTGTGGCGGCCACGCCGAGGTTTACGGAAGACTGAGCGTTTCAGCCCGTAGAGTCCAGACCCGCAGTGTGACTCTGCTGCTTCCTGCCTGCTGTGTCCACAGATCACTGTCTCACCAGAAGAAGGAGTCGTGGTCCTCCGATCAGAAACAGCAATGCATCTAAACAGTCAGTGTGACAGACAGCCTTCGACCCACCCCTGAACAAGGACACATTATTGTAGTGATGTGCTACAACTGCCATATTTCCTACTTTTTTGTCACCACTTGGTTCTTCCTCTCCTCTGATGAGCTTTTTTCTATGTAACACAGAGCCATATTTTATAGGTTGTCTGTATTTGCGTTCTTTCCTTTTTATCTCATTATTATCAAGGTGTCCTTTGGGCTCCCTCACCCATCACACGCTCCCCCCCCCCCCCCCTCCTCCCCCCCCCCCCCCCCCACACACCACACAAACCAAACGAACATAAAAAAAAATCAAATCAAATCATTCAAGAAGGAAATCTTCAGTCATCACTGCTGCACCAAGTTTTAAAGGACCTCTCCAATGTTTACATGCAGAGTGAGTTGGTGGCAGTTTGCCATTGCTTCTCTCATCCCACCACTTCCCTTTCATTCCCTCGCTTCCCTGAATCTTAAAGTTCCTATTTAACTGAACGGGGAATCTTTCTTCTTGCATGGTTTTCATATAAGATTCAATGTTTTGTTCATTTTTTACAATTCTTCTGTATTTTTATATTCAGTACTTTTTAATATTTTGGAGATATATGATTAAATATGTATAGGCTGAAGAGTCTGGTGACAGTACAGTTCACGAATGAGGAGAATCTGCCGTGGACTCTGTCTTTTTACAGCTCTCTGAATATTAATGCCACGTGTGTCGTCTCGGTCACCTGACGTTAGGGCTCAGAAGATCTGCAGTGACTTGTTTACTTCCTGTCGGCCGTTGGAATTTGGATTCTCGGAGAGAAAAAAAATCAAAGTCTCATCACTGCCTCCCCCCTCTGTCCCCCCGAGCTCTCTACGATCGCATCCACTCCACCTGAATGTTGTGACACACTACACACACCACGTCTGTGATGCTGCTCCAGTAGAGTTCAGTCCATACAACGTGAATACAGCTAAATATATATATATATATATATATATATATCAAACATTAAATGGAAGTGTATAATTATTTATCCAACCTCTGGATTTCTTTGTTTTCCTTGACGTCACTGCAGTTGGTTTCTGTGACTCAACACCTTTAAAGAGAACCAAAGCTGTGTTCCATTTCAGAACCCGCCGCCCTTAAATGACCTGGTCCTTCTGTGAGAGCTTTCAGACCTAAAACCAAACCTTAGGCCCCGTCCTTCTTTAGTCTCTGTACTGGCAAATGTTTAAAAAAAACAAAACTCTTAAATGTAAACGATCATCGTTTGGTTCCAGATTGTCCAGTAGATTTGTTTAAAAGTGTTAAATCAAAGTTAGATTGTCCATAATTTGCTTAAAGTCATCTGTCGGTGCCGTATTCTTTAGCTCCGTGTCTGACTTTTTTTGGGACCATTGAGAAGGCGGGGCCTGTGGTGGAACGCAGCTGCAGCTGTAGATGTCACCGTTTTATATGACCAACTTCTCACCCCTCATGCTGAGTGCAGGACTGCCGAAGCACTCGTGAGGTGACGTCCGGCCCGTCTGTCTGTCTGTCGGCTTCAGGAGAGTGTCCACCCAGTGGTGGTTCCCTACAGTTGACTCTGAGAACTGCTGTGCTCCTACAATCAGTGCAATGTAAATATTGTCATGCAAGTGAAGTGTGTGCTCCTGCCGTCTGCACCAGTGAGAGGAGACGGGAGAGGGGGCAATCAGCCAATCATCTTCCAGCAAAGCTTTAAGAATGCCTGGCCTGCCAAAGTCATTTCCTCATCCCTCCTTCCTTCCTCTCTCCCCTCCTCCTCCTCCTCCTCCAACCTGGGCCTGGATAAGACTGTCCCTCTGCTCCTGCCGTCACCTCGCCGTAGCTGCGCGGCCCTCCGTGGAACTGGTGACCCACACATCTCAGCCCAGCCCAGCTCGGCCATCAGAGACGATCAAGACCAGTGAGGAGGAAAACAGGATGAGGCTCAGTGAAAGACAGAGACACATGTTCACCTGGTTGTAAGGAGCGCATCAGTTTGAGTCTGTTACATCAGCATGTCTCTGTGGAGAAAACAAAAACACTGGCTTCTTATCCCGGCGGTGTTGCATTTGGACTGTGTTGCTTCCTCCTCAGAACACTGCTTTTCTCAGAACCGCTTCCAGTGATGGGAAATCTTTGGAGAACCTTCATCCACCTCAGAATTCACAAATTCAAAGAAAACAAACAACTGGAAAAAACAAAAACATTACCACTTATCATATATTTCTATATATTTATATCTCATATCATATATATATACAGTATATATATATTAGATGTAAATAAATAGATATATGAATGTTTCTCAGTTGAACTTCATTGCAAAAAAGACTGAAAAAGATTTTTTTTTTTTCTGTAATTACTATGATACACAGTGATAGGCGTTGGTGTTATTTTTGTATAAACATAATATCATCTATGTGGCATGCATGACATATATACAAAATTTGGTGGTTAAAGCAATATGTCCAACCTGGTGCGATTGGTTCCGTCGTGTTCTGTGTAGCCTAAAGCCACTCTTTATATAGAAAAAAGAAGAAAAAACGAAAGCCAAAAAAAGAGCAACTGCATTTGGATAAAACTAACTGTTCAGTAAATGTGTTCAATGTTCTGTGTTCTGCATGTTTTGGTACCGAATGAAACATCCGAGAAAAGTTGACTTGTTTTTCCCGACAAATCTCAATTACACCGCCCCCTCCCTCCCCCGCCATATGCAACATCACAAACACACACACATACACACACGCACACTCACACATCTGTCTGCACTGTGAGGTGAATCACGCTGAGAACATTAAAACTGTGACTTCTGATGGATGGAGTGATGAACGGTGAACATTTGTCTTCTCTTCCCATCATCCCATCCTAAACACATTCCCGTCCTCATCCAGCTTCCCACGCTTCACTCGTCCTCCAATCACGTACCGAACCTTCGAATTCCCCCGAAGTCATCAGACATCCATCTGTGCAGGAGTGAGGAGGAGGAGGAGGACATGACAGTTAGCAGGTGACGCAGGTGTTTTCATCTCCACCATCTCCACCACACATTCGTGCATCCTCACCCTCCTGCTTGTCCTCTGAGAAAACAGTCGTTTTTTTTCCTGAAAATGTGTTCATTTTTGTCCCCATCGTCATAATCAAGGGCTTCAACAGTACGATTCATGAGATTTGGAAAAAGAAAAATTCAAAATCACAAAGACGTTGAATCTTCTTCAGATTTCCAAAAACCCAGTTCTTAAAAATTCTAACGACAGATTTACTGCAAAATATTTGACTCACAGAAAAGTTTTGACTTGTTTGCTAAACTACAGTCTTTTTTTTCAACGAAAAACGAACGAACTACGTTTTTACTCTCTGTTAGTCTGTGGGCTGATGACAGGATGGATCTGATTGGATTAAAACTTAAACCTTTTTTTATGATTTAAATAATAGGGAGGGAATACATGTAATAATACTGCCAAATTATTCTTTTTTTCAATAAGGCTTTACAAGACTTTTAAAAGATAAATTTAAACATTGGCGTTTTGATATGTCCAGATATGGACACTAAAAAGGACATGGACATTTCTGCTCCTCTGACACTGAGTCCTAACGGCTGTGCTCTCCACTCAGTTTTCCTCTGGTGCCGCTGTGATGCTACATTTCAACATGGCCCAGTTAGATTCACATCCAGACTTCTCTTCTTCCAGTCACAGGTCAAACCTGATCGTCTTACCCAGCAGCCTTTGCTGATTTGGGCGTCGCTGAGTTAATTAGCAAACATTTAAAAGTTGGTGGATGGAACAGCGTCGTCGTCCGTTTGGCAGCTTTGCTTGTTACCAAAATACACAGGACATGACCTCAGTGTCCTGTGTACAAAAATGAACTCCCTGTGTGAGTGTGTGTGTGTGTGTGTCAGTGCGAAGGTGTGTTCCCTCCTCGGCGTGTGTATTTCACCCTGTCCTCCCTCGTTCACTCTCTCACCCTGTCAGTTTCTTAGGAACATCCTCTTCCTCCTCCTCCTGTTTGCTTCGATCTATGCAACAGCCTCCTCCAGTCCAGCTCCAGTGGTTCACTCTCACGTCTCCCCCTCCTCCCCTCCTCCCTCCTCCCTCACACTCTGACTCTCACTGTCTGCTCCACTGTCTTTATCCGCTTCACATGATTTTACTTCGTTCTACAGACAGAACCTCCGTACCTGTACGTGTGTGTGTGTGTGTGTGTAAGCATCATATAGGTGCACACACACACACACACACACACACACTTGGAGGTATTTTCTTTTTCTTTTTTTTGTAAGATATGATGGTGTGGAATGCCTTGGTCTTAGTGTCATGTCGTTTGAACTTCAGCTGAACAAAAGATGATAATCAGGCAACTGAGTACAAGTTGTGACAAAAGTATATACAATATATATAAGATATATAAATATATACAAATCTATATACATAAAATAAAGCCATTGGAATTTGAAATAAGTTTGTATCCGTACGTGTGCTTTTTAACGTCTGTACTTCATGTACTTCAGTACGCAGTATAACCTGACAAAATACTCCAGAGAATTACTGAAGATTAGGTCCTGTGGAGTATTTAGTCCTGTATTTAGTCCTGTGAATAGTTCCTTCTCTTTATATTTTCCTCTCTGTTGATAATGAATGGCCACCAGTAGGTGGCAGCAATGTAAATCAAATGATCGGTGAAGATAATCTCATAAAAAGCTTCATACTAGCATGTCACACTTTACATTACAATGATGAGTGGCCAATATGCAACATACTAGTGCAACGCTTACATGTTTAGGCTAGCTTGTTGCTAAAATACCAATAACAGCTAGATGCTTTTTTTCAATGCCTTTCTGCCTTTTTAGCTGCACATAAAGGCTAAAATGATCTCAGCATTTTCTACACCCTCTCTTGGGGAAACGCATGTATTGCAGGGAAAAGGCAAAAGTTAATGATAATATAAATAAATTATATAATTTGAGAAATGTTTGGCGACCGGACTAAAAAGCTGAACGGGCCGCATCTGGCCCCCAGACCATAGTTTGCCCATGCCTGGTATAGTGACGGCTGTCCCTCTGAGCTGTTCCACCTTAACTGTCCCTCTGAGCTGTTCCACCTTAACTGTCCCTCTGAGCTGCACCAGTTCAATAATAATTAACAACAATCTGTTTCAAAGAACATGATTTGTTTGAATGTTCATAGTATTATTAAAGGTGGCTTGCATACCCCCACACCTCACTCACTTTCTCTCTCTCTCTCTGCCTCCACACTGTTTTTCTGCTCACCCATCTACTCCTGCCACTCACCCAAACACCCACACACTTGAGTGATAGATTTCTGATAAACATGTTTAATAATTAATTGTAGTTCATTGAACTCTCCTGGTGTTGTACAGCAGCTACAGTATGCTCTGTCCTCAGACTGTCATGGTCTTTAGCTGGGCCTTGACCACGACAGCCAGATCAAATGGAGGTAAAACCCACAGAGGAACAACTCTTTGTCCTTGCTCTAAAACACTACATCAGACCTCAAATCAGGTTCACTGGTTCATTAATGGTATTATCTGTTGTTATCCAGTTGTAGACACTGTAGTAGACTTTGTACAGGAACTGGGCCTCCCTGTACTCTGACATCAGGTCCCTCTAAATCCGACGCACTAGTTCGTTTTAAAAGCAGCACTCTTATGGAGCAGCTTTACTGAACCTCTAATTGTATAATCCAAATGTCACGTGTCCTAAAATTACACAGACCTCATGTGTGGGTATTATGGCCTTTTATCCATGGAAGAATGCAGTCACTGAGAGAGTGAGAACCTGAATTCATGGAGTATTCCTAGAGCTTTTCTTAGTTAAATACTGCCATCTTGTGGCTTAAAGTTGTACCTGGTGGAACTGCTGTATCACACTAGCAGGGGTCACCAACCTTTTTGAAACTGAAAGCTACTTCAAGGACACTTAGTAATAAAGAAGACTTCCAGAACAATGTAATAATAATCAGTTCTGGGACATACTGGGTTTGGGTGTGAACATCACTGGGAGGAGAACTCAGTGTAGCTGACTGACCACTCCCTCCTCTGTTGGTTTTAATGGACTGGGTCACGTGATAGAAGAGTAGCTGGTCTTGGTGAGTGACTAGTGTAGAAGACTAAGTGGTAACTTGGTCGTCACATTGCCAAATCTACTAAATATGAATGTTGGGTATTTTAATTTTAAAAAGGCTGTATTCAAATGACGCCACAAAACAGCAATTTGACGAGTGGTGTATCCCGTCATCGCTGGCCTGTGATTGGCTGTCAATTAAGTCAGCTTGGTGGACGATTTGTTAGTTTGGTTATTTATTTATTGAGTTGTATGGAAAGGCCTTTTGCCATTTTACACCTGTTTACTTAGAATTTTAAGTCATTTGTCTTTCAGTGCCCTTTCCCAGCCTAAGGTAGGTGAAGTAAACAACGTTTTTACGTCAATATTCTTTCTATTAAGCCATGGATATTTTTGTCAAATTTCCAAAGTTTGAAAGAGATTCTCTTTTACGGAACGATAAGTTTCCGTTGGTATCTCGGGACTCTTCTGGTCTGAAGAAGGGATTTATTTTGGTGAATAAATGAACTCAAATTATAAAACAATAACATCTAGTTTCCAGGTCCAGGTTGTTTGATTCATTAGCCCATTAGCTACTGGTAGCTTACAAGTGATGCTTTGGAGACCGGTGGTCTGCAGTATGTGAAAAATGTCAGGCGGAACAAGTAAATACTATTCCACTAGGTGGCAGCAGATAGCTAAAAATCCTTTTCTAATTTATCGTGAGTATATCAGCGTTGTTCAACTAAACAGGCTCAGGTTTGTCAGAGAATTGGGTAAGTTATGAGTAAATTGAACTGACTTTGGACATTTCTAATATAAAATATGTTCTGTGGCTCTAAAAAGGTTTTAGAAATTTGGACAGCTCTTTTCTATCTCTGGTAGGGATCCCTTGAAAGCTAATGTTTTTACCAGGGCTAACGGGCTATTGAGGAAATTAAGAAAATATTGTTGATTCACCAGGTCAATTCCAAAAAATTATGCTGGGAATTAGATCATTTGTTTGTTTGTTTTTTCAATGACAACGTATATGTTCTTTAAAAGAAAAGGTTTGTTTCTTTTGTGCTCTCATTTCATACTTAAAGGACTTAATCACTTACCTACATTTCTCAGTGAGGGAAACTGGTCCAGGAAGTGGTTGTCAAGACACCAGCATCTCTACAGCTGAATATGTTGACACTACAGCAACCAGACCCTGCAGGGCTTCAGGGTTCCAGGCAACAGGCATCTTAACGACAGACGGAGGAAAGTTTAAAGCACCATCCGATTGGAGTTCGACCTCGTCAGCATTGACTCACCGCTGTGAGTCTGCAGCTTCAACATCACTAAATCCGTTCAGCCCCATTCCTTTAAACTCTTCTTTGTCTGACACTTGAATTCCTCCAAAGGGGAGATGGTGTGGATTAGAGCAAAGTATAGAAACAACTATAATCCTCCAATTGAATATACTTTCAAAGCACCTGATTATGCAGAGAAATTGCCTACAGTATATGTGAGTGTGTAAACCCTGGTGCACCATCACACTGGGATGCAGGTGGCTGCTCCTGATTGGAACAATATATTTAAAAAAAACCTTCAAAGATGTTTTTCTTTCCTATGACAGAAAGATCTTCTGTCGGAGAGATTACGGCAGTGACGTCTGTTTCATTAGCAAGTCAAAGACCATACTGGGAGTTTGTTGTGATATCCGTAAGCCTCAGTCTGTGTGTGTGTGTGTTGTATCACGTGTGTCTCAGGAGCCTTTATAAAAGCTGCAGAGGTCGAACCTGAAGCCATTGACTTGTCTGATCATCTGAGGAGCTTCAGTCACCAACAAATGTAAGTTATATTTCATTCAATGATAGGGTTTAAACCTGTTGTCATTTTCTGTAATTCCTTCCAATTCAGGTTTCCTTTGCAAGTGTGTTTTTAAACCTTGAATTAAGATGTATATTTATATGTAGAAATGTGGGTTGTGATAATTAGAATGAAATGTAAAATTTAGGCTTTGAAAACTGTGAGGAAATTGAAACTGTTTGTAATTTTGAAAAAAACAATCTATTTGATTTAACATTAGGTAAATCAATGGCTTTATTTATATTTAATTTATTATTGGGATTTGGGAGATGTGTCCATTATGTTTTTAGTAAAGTCTTCTAAAGGCAACTGATAACGATGTTTTTCATGGTCTGAAAAGGACATTCTATTAAGAAAAGAGAGACAATTATTAACAATCAGTGCCTCAAACAAGGTGAAGTTAATATAATTCAAAAAATATATATTTAAATTTCTCTATAATTATATAAAATATATATTTAAATTTCTCTATAATGTATTTTACTTTATTTTATTTTAAAGATGTTTCAATTAATAGCAAAATAAAACCAAAATGTTATTTTTGAAACAATGCTCGGTGGTTCTTTATTTTAATGTAGTGAAACATGAAGGGAAATAAAATGGGTTTTTTGTGTTAAATATGAATTTCTGAATATGAATCTTGTTCTTTTCCAGAAGATGCCGGTGTCCCACCGATTTGTGTGCTGTCTCTTCGTCATGTTTCTTGTCGTCTTCACAGTCGGCCGGTGCCAACAGGAGAGGTACGGACACAGAAACCACTCTGTCACCAGCACACTGTTACTCAACAGGAGCGGTAATCTCGTGCAATCGTTGAAGGATCATTACATTTTCAAAATAAAACTTTCTTCTGTTAGTATTAGAGTCTGAATGACCTGTTGTTTTGAAACATTGACACATTATCTTTGAATGAAAAAAGTAAAGGGATATGATTGGGTTCTTCTTGAGTGAAGTAAATTAATAAATCTGAGGTACACTTTTTCACACTGTCCCACTGCGGTCCATTACTAAATGACCTATGGACCGGGGCTTGGGAACCCCTGCTCTACATCATGCTCCTTAAAGACAATTTTAGGTGACAAATAAATACACTTCCTGTTTCTTCTTCTCCCTCCTGACAGCCGCCGAGCGGTCTCTGAACACCAGCTGCTGCACGACCGCGGTCGAAACATCCAGAGCCTGAAGAGGCTCATCTGGCTGTCCAGTGCCATCGAAGGTCTCCACACTGCCCAGACACGCTCCACTGACTACAACCCGTCTAGAGTTCTGGACTTGGACCTGAATCCAGCACTGGTCTCTGCTGCTCAAAACAGCCAAAGTGATCGGATGCAGACGTTCCTGAGAGACTTCTTTTTTCCCTACGTGAACAGGCTCAGCGACGGAGAGCCCTAACACCAGGGACATGCAAAGAAACTAGGGCTGCTCTCCACAAGTGTGAAAGATGTTAGAATATGAAACACTCGAAACACAACCACGACATTGTCTTTAGTAACAAAAGACACAAATTTTTCACAAAGACTGACTCGGTCTTTGTTTGTTAAAAACAACTTGGTTCGGTTTTTTTCATGAAATTCAGTACCCAGACTATGTTGATGTTAGTTTGATTTGTTATTGACTCGATACAAAAGCTAACATGCTCTTTTGTAAACATGTAGCTCAGCTTTGCACGGCATCCTGCAAAATTAAAGTTAAGCGACGTATCAGTAGTCTGGATGTTCCTTCCTCTGACGCCATGTCAGGTCTTCAACTGAGTCTGGATAATTGTCACAGCTGTTTGTTTACTGTTGTCTCTTTGTCTTATGAGCTCAAAAAGAGAAACTTATCTTTTGGCAGAAAACAAATATCAATATATAAAAAAATGTTTAAAAAATCTATTACTATGTCAATATTATACTGTAGTAGTAGTAACTGTAGTAATAGTGTAGGAGTACTGATGCTTGCTTAAAAGTTGTAAAATCAATTACAAAAAATATGAGTCAGGAACTACCAATACATTCATTCACACTATTGCTGTGTTTCTACGCATTTTGTTGACATTTTTTGACCATTAAAGCCAGAACAACAATAATTATTGACCAGTTTGTCTCTCAACTCTTAGTTTATGCAGCCACATTATTACCTAATTACATAGTCTTTTTCCATTGGAAGTAGAAGTATAAGGGAATATGTTCCTCTGCAGAGATGATGCCCTCCACCTCTATTTTCTGTTTTTTTGGGTTTCAAGGTTGAAACGTTGACCAATAGAGCATTTTTCAATCTCAAAGATGAGATTAATAAGAAATAAACATCATAGTGAGACCACTATGAGGCTATTTTTAGTATGCTTTAGTACTATACACTGAGAAAGCAATACTAAGGCTCTCTGTTTAAAGATATGTACAAAATATGTGAATACTTGATTATGTCAAGATTTATTTAGTTTTTCCATTGAACACAAACATATAAGGCTGATCAAACATAGAAGTGTCCAATAAAAAGAAGCACTCCTTTCAGCTCTGAAATGATTTTTTAAAATTATATTCTTTATTACTATCCAGTAATAATTTAATTAAAATAAAGATCTTTTCAAAATAATAAAATACTGTAATAGACAAAAGTGACTGGGTGAAGACCGCGCCCTCTGCCTGGAAAACGGAACTCCGGGCTCATTATCATCCTGACGTGTTTCGTTCTCGCGAGATGTCTGTGACAGCTAACGTGAACTAGTCTGTGTGTCAACCACAGTGACACCGGTTTTGGCGAAATCTGTAACACTCAATGTCTCTCCAGTATTACCATTTTTAACGGGAATCAAGTATTATCCTGCCAGAGAGTGTTGTCGTCTGTCGGCCCGAAGTGCCGTCACATTCCTTTGGACTGTCCGCGTATCTCGTCCTTTAATCGACAGGTCAGTCATGGTTACATCCGTCACTTTTCGATGTTAGCTGGGAGAATAGCTCTGCTAGCGTGGAAAAATGATACCAATTTGTAGAGCTTGATTTTAGACGTGTTTATATTTTTATTTCATTAATTATATCGATCTGCGTGATTTCGAATAAACCAACTGAGCAGGTCACATGCTCTCATTTAATTACGTAGTAACAACAACAGTATTGGCGATGTGGCTAACAGAAGAAAAAAAAAAGCCATGTAGCATTAGCGGACGGCCGATGGAGATCTGTGAGTTGAAAACAAGCAAACGTGTCTCTGGCTGTCAGGTGAACCTGAGATGTGCATGCTAACATTGTGTCTTCGTCTCTGGACCCTGGAGTCACTGACAGTGTGTAACACGCCAGGCACGTATGGAGTAGAAGAATGTCTATGAGTTTAGTGATGCACTCGTCGTGTAATTTATTGTGGAGTTTAGTGATGCACTCGTCGTGTAATTATGTAATCTGTAGCAAAAACAACAGCACATGTGACAACAACGCGTGTGACCGTTAAACACAGATTATGACGGTTGAACTCAGCAAAATAAAAATAGATACTGTGTTTGTCATTCATGTGGTTGACCAATTGGAGTTAAGCTAGTTTCAAAATGTTCGAGTTCCTCTTGGTTTGAGTTCTCATTAAGGCCAGTTCCTGGCAGAAATCCAGATTGTGTGACTTCAAAATGAAAGTAAAAATAAAACTGCCCTCCATCAATTATCTATCGCTTCCTTTGCAGGGTTGTGTTTCATAGATAAACAGCAACGAAGCACTTGTGTTAGGCATACGTAGAATCTGTCACTCAACTAAATTATAATTATGAGTGAGAAGAGGCCAAAAGCTTGAGATACTCCACTTGACATGAAATGATAAAAAAAAATTCTAAATCTTAATCTTCGTCAGTGATACTGAGTAGGAACCAGACAAAGAGGCGACCGAGAGCTGAGTGCCAAAAAAGATAAGAGGAGCAGCATGACAACAAGACATAACATGAACTAACAATAACAGTGGGAACAGTCAACGCTGCTATGGCACAGTATTAAACAGGCTCTTCAATACCATTAGGTCCTAACATGTTATTATCTACTTCACAAGTGACACAGTCAAAGTAACCCCCCTAGGGCTGAGTGTTTGGAAGGAGAAAGCACTGCTGGAGCCGGTTAAACATTATTTCAACTTATTAAATAAACACTTAAAAAAGATAAAAACTAAAAAAGTTCTTGTTTATATGACTGTCAGACTCAAAAACGAAGACTCCAATTTTCCACTGATGTCAGGGTAATAGTGTTCCTTCTTCTTTCCCAGGTGTCGTCCAGCCACGCTGTGGATCTCCAGCCCCTCCACTAAGGCAGTGGCAGAGCCAGAGCCATCAGCAACCACACCAACGGCTCAATGAGCGCTACGGGGCAGCCGCAAGGGGGGGGTCCGCGTTCTCGCCGATGCCTGGGCCGGGACAAGGAACCATGCCAGACCAACGGCATGGATGCCTCCTGCTGGTTTGCCCCTGCAGTGCTACGAAGACTAATTGAGCTGCCCTCACCGCCCCTGTCCAGACACCAGCTCAAGAGACTGGAGGAGCACAGGTAGATTCAGGGATTTCTGCTGCAGCTGAAGAGTAGACTTTTAATGATGAGTTATTTGACCCTCACTCCGCCCGTGTCGCTGCAGGTACAGCAGTGCAGGACGCTCCCTACTGGAGCCTCTGATGCAGTGTTACTGGGAATGGCTGGTGGCACGAGTGCCTTCCTGGATCGCCCCTAACTTAATCACCATCATCGGCCTGGCCACTAATGTCTTCACCACTCTGGTGCTGGTCTACTATTGTCCAACCGCCACAGAACAGGTGACTGGTGTCCTGTCATATCCTGACCTTACAGTCATTACTTTGAAACTTGACATATTACATTGTGTTTACACCATTAGCAGACACTTTTATCCAAAGTGACTTACATGTGGAGGGTTAACTATATGGTTCCACTGGGGCTCGAACCCAGTGCCCTCTGCATGTAAGGCAAGCATGATGACCACTACATCAATAAATTATAGCTAATGGATTAGATGTCAGGACCTTGATTCATTTGTGTTAAACTGTTTTTTAGATTAAAAACTGTAATTTGAGAATAATTTTAAATGTGTTTGTGTTTTATTTCAGGCTCCTCTCTGGACGTACCTGATGTGCGCTGTGGGCTTGTTTATCTACCAGTCATTGGATGCCATCGATGGGAAGCAGGCCAGACGCACCAACAGCAGCTCTCCACTAGGGGAGCTGTTTGACCACGGCTGTGACTCCCTCTCCACTGGTGGGTTTTGGTTTCAGTTAAGCCTCAGTTTTCGATGAACCTTGTTTAAATATCTGGTGTTTTTTCTCCCCCTAGTGTTCGTGGTGTTGGGAACCAGTATAGCTGTGCAAATGGGAACCAACCCTGATTGGATGTTCTTCTGCTGCTTCGCTGGGATGTTTATGTTCTACTGTGCCCACTGGCAAACATACGTGTCAGGAACCCTGAGGTTTGGCATGTGAGTTGACCAGAGCTGTTTGACTGGTTTGTTTTCTGCTGATGTGGTTTCGTTTTCCTGTTAACTGCCTGTGTTTTAAAATAAGCATGTTCATTTTCATTGCATTGATGTGAGGATTGTGGTGCCGTACGTTAAGTGTTTGTTTTCATTATGTCACACCTGCACAACACATTCATCAATCAGTCTCTGACACCAGCTGGACAAGAGCACTGAGTGGAGAAAAAAAACCGAAGCCAAACATATTTGTCTTGAAGCTAAGAAAATATGAATAAATAAAGCAATCAGTTAATGGATTTAAATACAAAAAAGAGTGACATTACATGTTTATTAAACTTAGCTCAGTGGTTTTGTGTTTGAATTAGTAGTGTTTTAGTCATGTTATTTCATTTGTGAAGATAGTGGTGTTGATAGAACGCCTTCACAACATTCAAACAGCTCCACGTCCAGCGGTGTGCTGTGAATGACCGCCGTAGTCTGTTTGTGTTCAGGTGAACGTCACTAATCCTCAGTGTAAATGTTGTGCTTCTTCTTCTTCTTCCTCTTGCTCAGCATTGATGTGACTGAGGTGCAAATCTTCATAATAATCATGTATTTGCTGGCCGCTGTGGGAGGATCTGCTTTCTGGCAGTCACCGGTAAATTTGATCGACTGTAATTTTTTGTATTTGAAAGTGAATGATGGCATTATAATGAAGTGTTAATATTAATCTATTCTTCTATAAGTTTTTTTTCTGTTTTACTGTAATTATAAATAATGTCTCTGAATGTGAATTTGAATTACTAATTCAGGTTGCTTTAACTGTGTAAATATTCACAAAATTATAACTTTATGCTGCATGCCATGTGGTGATGTGAACGACTGTGCTGTATTCCCATTCCCTCATTCATGTTTCCTGTTGATACCATTCCCAGATTCCTGTCCTCAACATCCAGATGAAAATGATTCCTGCCATCTGCACATTTTTAGGAGCCATCTTCTCCTGCACCAATTACTTCAGAGTCATTTTTACAGGAGGTGTGGGCAAAAACGGATCCACAATAGCAGTAAGTCCGGACTCTCGCTGCTGTGGGTTCGTCATGATCCTGTCAGGAATGGAAGTTGAGAGTGAGGGTGAAACTACTCTCTGAATGTTTAAGTGTTGATTGTCAAACCTGATGTGTCTCGGGGTTAATGGAAATGTTTTTTTAAACATACAAGTACTATTCAGATTTTTGTACCATTGATATTAAGACTGTCACTTCAAACGTGTGCTGACAAGTCCCACACCAGTGGATCCGTTCAAGTGTGGAACTTGTGGCTTCGTGGTTCCAGTTTCTCAGAGATGTTTATCAAATCAGATAAAAGAATGATGAGAACAAAAGTTTAAAGTTACTTTGATGAATAATTGTGGGACATATTGACTCTAAGTGAAGATTTTTTAAATAAAAAAAAGAACTGCTGACATGTCGTGACACGGCCTGTGGGTTAGAGTGGGTAAAAGGTTTGCCAGTTTGAATTCCTAGTGCTGGCAGGGCTGTGATGAATTGAGCAAGCACCGCAAACTTCAGTATTTACAGATGGGTTACACGTCACTGTGGTTATGCACACTGACAAAAGAATCAGCTTCTGTGGTTTCATAAATCCAGAACAACCATTTCACTGTTTCCTGAGGAACCGTTTGTTCCACAGATCTTCTCTAGTGTTCTTTTCTAACATTTGTCATCTCTGTCCTGTCGTAGGGAACCAGCGTCCTCTCTCCAGTCTTACATATTGGTTCAGTTATAATTTTGGCAGTGATGATATACAAGAAATCTGCCGTCCAGCTGTTTGAGAAACATCCCTGTCTTTACATCCTGGCCTTTGGCTTCGTCTCGGCCAAAATCACCAATAAATTAGTTGTAAGTCCAACATTTTCTTCAGACAACGTCCGCTCAGTTCTGTCCTGTGCGATGCTGACTGTCGATTTGTTCGTGTCTCTGACCACAGGTTGCACATATGACCAAAAGTGAGATGTATCTCCATGACTTGGCCTTCCTAGGACCCGGGCTACTGTTCCTGGATCAGTATTTCAATAGTTTTGTCGACGAGTATCTGGTGCTGTGGATTGCACTGGTAAGTACAGGCTTCAGGTGGAAGTGCATTTAGGTCAAGTTCATAAATTCAATCGAGTGAGAACAAAGGTATTTAATATTTAAGGTGTCTGAAATCATTTGCACCAATTTTATAATGGTATGTCACATGTCACTGTCACATCAGAGCAGATAGTGATGAAAATATACTACTAACAAATACTGTATGTGTTATATATACGTTTATTATTATACGGTTGACTTCAAATATATATGTATATATATGTATATATATACACACATATATATACATATATATATATATCACTGTCCTCCTATAATGGAGATTTTTTTTAATAAGATCCTGTAGTGTAACTTCGCAGCTTAAACATTAATATTCTGCACTATTGCCTTCACTGAATTGGTTGAAATGTTGAAATTGGTTGTGGTAGAAAGATTAAAAATGTCTCTTGATGTTGAGGTTACGGAGCCCTGACCTTGACATTACAGCTTTTTTTTTTTTCCCCCTCTCTTCCAGATCCTCTCCTTCTTTGACCTGGTGCGTTACTGCGTCAGTGTTTGCAACCAGATCGCCTGCCACCTCCACATCTTTGTTTTCAAAATCAAGCCCTGTTCAGTTCTCAGCTCTTCTCCCCACTGAGGACACGTCGGCCATTACTGACTCTGTTTCTTCCTCTTTTTGCCGCACTCACCTTCTCTTCCCTCTGTTCTCCACTGGGAGACACAGGGCGATGTGATGTACAGAAAGTGCTTCTGCCAACTGAATGTGAGGACATATGTATTAAAAAATACTCGGAGTATTTACTGTTTTTTTTTTTTTTTTATTTTTTTTTTTTGTTTGTTTGTTTATTTTTCACCAGTGCAGAGTTACATTTGTACCTCCGGCCCCGTAACAACATCTCCCTCTGACATACTCGGTGTTCCACAGAGAAATTATTTCAGGAAGAGTACAGGTGCTACTTATTGTGTTCAAAGAGAGATAATTGTGTGTGTTGTAATTGTCCATCCTCAAAAAAAGAAAGAAATATATATATATATATGTATAAGAGATGAATCAAATTTAAACCACTTTACTTTTTTTGTAATATTCGCATAACTTTTGCCTTTAAGTCATTGTAAATACAAACTACTACTGTGTCTGTGCTTCACGATTAATTTAAGAAATAATGCTTTAAAACATTTATAAATCCTTCCATCAAGTGTATGATTCTCAGGCAACTTCATCTCCTACTGATGCAACTGTTTTTCGTCAGCGTGGCTTCATACAGTAGTTTTACAGGTGGGATTGTGCGCTGTAATTCAGGTGGGATTAGGGATTTTTCTGTTGACGTTGACCTTGGTTGAGGCCTCATTTGCATTTTTTTTTCTCAATTTGCAGAAATCTAGGAAAAAGGTCTTTTAATTATTTTAAGACACATCCGTTACGTTGCAAATGAGAAAGTCACAAAAGCACTTACGTGCACCTTCAATGTCACGAGAGAACTTTGATGTTTTAAATTTCATACATTCTGATGGTGATGATTGGTGGATTTTAAACCAGTGCTGAATGAATGAAATTTACTTTATGTGTCAACTTTATGTAACTCTGCTGCTGTTGTATTACCGATCACTTTTGCCCCTTTTGTCACTCTTTGTCTTAACCAGTTACTGTTGTGTAGTTTCACTCTTGTCAACATGGACGCAGGAACAGTCCTCAGCAGCAGCAGCTGTGTCCACAGTATATGTTGTGTCTAAACATTCTAAAGTGTGTGAGACACTGCTCTGGTTCATAGTGTTAAAAATACCTCACAGATATCTGTTGCATTTGTATCAAAGTTTTGTTTTGTTTTTTTCTGTTCCCTATAGTTCTTAGGAAATGTCATTTGAACAGTAATAAATAATTCTTTTTTTTTCAGCAGCAAGTACGTTATGACCTGGGTGTCTATGCCTTTCTGTCATGATTTTTAAAGGATTTTTTAAAAAATGCTCCTGTATGGCTTTAAGGGATGCAGTTGTGTCAGGATGAGGAGGCTGTTCTGAAAGATGTCAAAACAGTTTCTTTAACAATCCACTCC